TTCTGAAGTCTAGTTTTCAGTGCATTGAAAATTACTTTCCAATTTGAATTATAGATGTAGCCCAGAACTTCATTTAAGCTCAGAGTTTATTAGTGAGGAAAATCAAATGAGCTCTCTTGGATGAATGGCAGGCCAGGAAAGCATATCGCCTTTGCTCCCCTTCCCTAATGGATTGGATTGGATGGGACAGCCACCATCACTTCCCTCTGTGAAGTACTTCACTGTGGTTGCTGTGTTTCTCAAAGCAGCTGCCAAGCACATACCATTCTCCTGAAACACTGTGCTCTTGCAAAGGGTAGAATTTCCCTGTGCTTTTACTTCATCTCACCAAGCCCAAATTCCCCTAGCAATATTCAAAGCCTTGGAGAACTCAATGAAGCTTTAATTTTCTGTTGGTATTAAATGGGATACAATTAATTTCTTGTGAAGTTTCTTTTTTAATTTTCTAGGAAATTCTAAATAGGTTTTTCTGATGCTAAGTCTGTAAATCAATTTTATCCCTGAGAAAAGGAAGAAATAAATGGAACCTCTAAGGACTGTAGCTTTATGGCAAAAAAAAAAAAAAGGAGTAATTAGGAAGTAGGCTCTGAAAGCAAACAAATGTAGACAGCCAGGGGTTTGAGTACCACCTTCACAACTTCCTAGTCGGGCAGCTTTGGTCAGTTTGCTTAACGCCTTTATGTCTCAGTTTCCTCATCCATAAAACAGGGATAATTGTACTCATCACATAGAGTTGTTTTTAAGATCAAATGAAATAAAGATGTAGGGTGACCAACAGACCTAGAATGCCCAAGCCTGACAGGTTTCTTGGGACACAAGACTTTCAACGCTGAAACTGGGACATTCCAGGCAGACTGGGATGGTTGGTTACCTTGTAAGAGGTCACATATTTACACAATCATAAATGATAGCCATTATTGTGTATTACAGACAGTTTTGAGAATATTGCCATGGACATGTTTTTCTATATAGATTAATTAGACATATCCTGACTTTGCCTTTTATTAAAAGACTGAAAGATATAATTAAAAAATAAAATGCTTCATTAGTGGATCATTGTCACTGTCCATTTCTAAGGTCTACTTGGTTATTTCCAAAATTCTGGAAGTCATTTCTGTTGCTTACTGAGACCAAGTCTTAAAAAAACTTTGCATGCTCTGAAAGTAGTATGCAAGAACAAATTACTTCAAAAGTGTACCACCTTTATAACTTTGATGGCAAGATGAAAAGCTTTGTCATGTTAAATGAACTAGGGAACAATCTTTTTAGTACAATGAATTAAGTCATTTAAAACACACCAAGCTTCCTGGGACAAATTTCCTGTCTGGAACATTTCTAGTTAAGATGGCTGACTGAGCATATTTGTCTCTCCTACCTGTCAATCCCAATTTAGTGACATAAGTATCTCTTTTGTCCTTACTCTCTGGCATTGCAGAGACCAGGAGGGGGCTTATCAGGTGACCTCAGATTATAATAAACTTCTGGCTGACCAAAAACAGTTGAGATCACATTGACAAAACAGGGAAAAGGAATGCAGGGCGCAGTCATTGTTTTCTAAATTTGTCTGGTTTTAAGAATTACCTGGGGCTCTTATAATAGTATACATATTTCCAGGCCGCTCCATAGAGATTCTGATTCAAGCGGGAAGTAAGAAGCATTCAATCTGTAATTGGTTGGTGTCCCCTTAGATGTTTAGGATAGGACAAGTTTGGAAATGGTTCTCAACCACGGACTGTCACTATGCCTGGGCGCCTCCCCAGGATGCTAACGTTGCACAGTGCTTGTGTGAACACAACACACACAAATCAAACACTGGCAACAGGATAATTGCTGTAACAGAATTTTAAGTGGAAGTCTATATAGCATTTAGATACTTCATTAAGGTTTGTTAACTTGACAAGGTTCTAGATGTCCTCAGGAGCTAGACTGACATAGGCTGTCCTGGTAGTTTTCCAGCAGATGATAAAACCCTTTTTAAGGGATAAGGGAAAACTACTTTCATGCAAATCATTATTTTTCATTGATTTATTTCTGTTCTTATTTTCACTAAACATAATACAATGCCATCTTTTATATATAACACCAGGAAATGGGTATACTATTCCTTCCAGAAGGGGCATTCTGAAAGAAAAGAAATAACCATGTATAGAAAGACATGTTGTAACAAGTTGACAATTCTTTCCTACTCTCTGCTTATTATAGTACAGTGTTATATGTATAGTACTTTTTCTTCTATTTTTATTTTTATTCTCTCTATGGAAGTTCCTAGATATTTTTTAAACTAGCTCTTTACACCTGTAAGAATTCATTTGCCTTGGGTTCTGTCTTCTCTTATTTTGATTTTCTTCTATTTCCCTTTTCCACAAATGCTTCATTTCCCCTGGTGCTTACTTTCTGTCCACCAACTTGCCTTTCTTTCACTTTCTCTTTAGCATTTACTGCCCCCTGGTTTTTTATCTAGAGTCCCTGAATTACTCCTTGGCTATTTTGGGCCAGACACCTGGTAGAGAATGACCAATTGCACTAGCTTGTCCTGTACAAAACCCCCTCAGTCCCAGGCCAACGAGGATGGCTGGATCCTCTACTTAACCAAAGACTTGGGGAAATAACATATTGGCTCTAAGGTTGTGAGAGGAGTAACAGCGCTTGGTAGCACCCTGCTGTGTTGCTGTTGTTTTTAAATTAGTAACTGTTGGAAGAGAATGCAAATGCAAATAAAATAAGTAGGGGTCATAACCAATGGTTAGCAAGATTCAAATGACCTGAAGGACCAGAGAAGCCTAGTATGTGAGTCAGAGACTCTGAAGACCAGCGTGAGACTGAGTGAGTCCTTAGCACTGTAGGCTGTGATGCTCACGGGCAGCCTGAAGCACTGCCTGCCTGGCCCTGGAGAAAATAGGACACCTTTTGTACTGAGGAGTTTTGAGTTGAGTAAAAACCATTGTATTGATGTAGTCTGCTGGAGTACAGCTCCGGTGAGTCCAGGAGTCCCTGAAGGATGAACGGTGTCGGCAACTGACGAAGTGAATGAGGACACAGACACTAGCAAAAGCTGAGCCTGGCCTGTTTTATTGAAATTTAGCAAGGTTATATATGTTTTGAGTATGCAGTTTCACAGATTTGATCATTTGATTCTCTCAGAAAAAATGTTCACATAAAGGTCAATCTTTATGAGCGCCTGAGAGATCATTAATTTTTTGCACTTATGCTTGCTTGGCTTCCCTGGCAGTCCTGGAACAAACATGGCTGGTTCCCTCATGCCTGGTTGGCCTGGCCCTTACTTGCAGTTTCCTTATTATTGATTCTAAAATAGCCATGGTTACTAGTCATCTGATTAACAAATATAGCTAAGTCTATTTTTCTAGGTCTAGAGCATTACGTGCAGATTTAAAGAAGAACATCAAAACAGTGTATCATTAAAGTAGTATAGCACGACTAAGCTAATTGCAATTGTGGGAACTGAAAACTCAGTACTCTTGGGTAGGTGCCCAGTTTCATAGAGACAAAAGCATTGCACCTGGAGGGATGAGGTAAGGGGATAATGACCACTGAATCAGAAGGCATAGGGACCCAGTCGGGCCACTTCTCTTCCTAAGGGGGGAAGCAGGGGCATGTCTGACTTAGAGTTTCCTTACACCATTTACATTAATATCTGTAGTAGTGATCTTTTCTATTGGGAGAGTCTCTGTAATCATGCCAGGCACTTTAACATGCCATCATTCATGCTGACCTTCCTTTATTGTTCTATTATTCCCCGAGACCCAACAGGTCTAGGAGTCATTTAGAAATTCCTCACAGGGCCAAGTTGGGCGGGGAGAGGGAACTGGAACCTACTCAAACAATTCTTATTTATTATAACTTGATACTTGTTTCCAGTATCTTCTCTGTATCACCCTCCTTTACTTTTTAATAAAATGTTGAAATAGTAGGTTAAAGTAATAAAGATTACAGTTTCTAATAGAAAGCTGTTTAACACAGTTTACTTTTTCATAAAAGATATTTAAATCTTGATGTAAAATAAAGATGGAAAGTAGAGTTTAGTGCAGTAGGAAAGCAAGTGTAGACTGTCAGATCCATGCCTATAAACTGGGTATTGATTCGAGTGAGACAAGGGCAACAACATTCATGGGTGCAGAAGATTTCTCTCAAAACTGGGAGGGTGAAGTTCTGAGCCTCACCTCTGTTGACCCCCAATTTCTCACCTGATGGCCCCCCTGCAACTGTGCCTGTCTTAGCTTGTTCCTCCCTTGAGGAATCTTACCCATCTCTGGCTAACTAGTCGTCTTCTGGGGGCATACAGGGAAATGTAAAGTTGGTAAGTGAGAGAGAAGCCATATTGTTTGAAAAGGTTAGCTTTTTACTTCTTTGCAGATTTATGCCCTGTGGCTTCTATGCCCAGCAGTTATCTTGAGGTATCTTTACCACCTGGAAGAATTAGGGGTGTCTTGCCTCTAACATTTCTCCCAAAGTATTTTAAATTTGTTTTCTAATTTAGGTGTGTAAGTTACCAATAACAACATTTCCAAACACCACAATAATAAGGAGAGATAGCGAGGATGTTTCTTTCGGAAGTCTGCTTTGTGGTTCCTCTTTCTGGGAGTCTGGCGGTGCCATCAGATGGGCGATTTGGACTGGCTCCCAACATCAGTACATTCCAGAGTAACTAAAAGTCAGGAGGAGATGCTGAGGAGACAATATGGCTCTTCCTGCTCCTGGAATTTCCACTGGGGAGCCGAATGGAAGCTCTCTCAGGGGCTCAGCAGAGTCCCACAGGTCTTCCTGGGACTCTCTTTAGTGTTCTTGCTCAGCACTAATTAAGAGAAGTAGAGGGTTATAAAACCAGCATCTCCAACCCTGTCGTTCTATCATTTAAAGGACCATTCATCTTTTATCTTCAGATTGTCTTTGAGAGTGCCAATATCCTTGGTAAAAGGCCATATGCTATAACTAATCTCTGCTAAGATGCTACCTGCTGACGTGATGTATGGTTTTATTTTTAGGAGCCAGATGAAGAGTGGGTTGGTCATTCCTTCACTTCCCCTGTGAGAGAGGATTCCTGCATTCAAGCACACACTATATCTATGTGAAAAATAAATTTAGACCATTCTGAATACATGACTAATTCTTTCATAATTCATTTCATTCATTCTAGTGGAAATCATAGAACTGTGGTATTATTAACAGATGAAGGGAGTGGAATTCAAGGCTTTTGCGTAGTTATGTGGGAAGTCAGATGAAACCATTCTTCCTTGCCTTTGTTTGGCAAACTGCTTAATGAACACTTACTATGTACTGAGCACTCTGCTTGGTGTTGAGGACAAAACAATGAAAACACTTTATTCTTGACTTCAAGGCACTTAGATGATGGGTTTTACAAAGTTACATATATATATATATGAACAAACTGCAATAAGGGTTACCGGTGCTAGTGTAGAAGCATATTCAGGTTACAGCATAAGTACAAAGAAGGACGTGGTCAATTCTACCAGGGCTGGAGGAGGGAAGCCACCTTCACTTCAGGGATCTAGCCTACTAGCTCTGGATAAGGTTTATTACTGTGATTGTTTTATTTTTCATTGTATCCCTAATGCCTCACACATAATGAGTGCTCAGTAAGTACTTTTTAAATGAGCAAAGGACAGTGTTGCCATAAAGCGTGATGGCTATGAAGCAACGCAAGTAGTTCAGGCCGAGAGTCATGGTGCTGCATGATCAGGTCTCTTCGCCCCTCCCTCTCCAGTGGTGTCTCCCAGGCACTGTTCCCCTTTGAGCTTTATCTGAGGAGTTTGAGCTTTATCCTAAAGTCAGGGCTGTGACAGAATCAGCTTCGTGGTTTAGAAAGCTAACTGGCTGTAGTGTGAGGGTAGATTACAGGAGGGGGACTCTGGAGTTGGGAAGATCACTAAGACCAGCATTTCAGCTGGGAGAATGCATGTAATTATCACCTGGTATTTTCCAGGGCCCACCCCAGACCACTTAAATCAGAATCTCTGGGATGAGATCCAGATACCAGTTTTATAAATTATCACTGGTGATCTAATGAGAAACCAAGATTGAGAATCAGTTGCATAAGTTAATATAGTTGCAGAACATAAAAGCCTGGACATAAATAAAAGGGCTATGAGAGGTAGAGGAACAACATAATTAGGTAACAGAGCAGGGGGTGATGAAGATGGGGGGGAACTGAGTTACAGGTTCTGGTTGGAGTCATTGAAACTGGGGGGTAGGGTGACCAACCTTTTCAATTTGTCAGGGTGTATCATGGTTTTAGTACTGAAGGCCCCTCATCTCAGGGCAGTATCACCTTACAGGAAGGAGGGTGATACCCTTTACCAAGACAGGTAATACAGGATCAGTGTGGTTGGGAGAAAGATGATTAATTTTAAACATGGGTGACAGCTGCTAAGTATTGGTGACTAATGCCAACCTAAAGTTCACAGCTGAGGATCAAATGAACTGAATACCATGCATTCAAAATTCCTAGAATGACAGCTGTTGGGGCCATTCAATCCTGGACAGGGATTGCTAAGAGAAACTGGGAGGCAGAACCAGTGCCACCACTCACACCCTAATATAAGATGAGGCTGAAAGGGAAAGGGCCACTGCCTTTTGTGGAAGTATTTGTTTCCCAGAACAAGGGAAGGATGGGTTGCTTCTCATCCTCAAAGCCATGGGAGGGAGCTGTCAAGAGAACTGCTCATAGGTTTGTGGGTATCTGATGTGCCATTCGCTGTCTAGACAGTTTTGGGGTGCTAGGCTCTGTCTAGCCCCTGTGCTACCAGGGTAGAGGAAAAGTACATTGGGAAGAGATGGCACGGTGGGAAACTGCCAGGTGTAGCAGAGTCAAGACTGTCTCCACTCCAAGCCCAAGAGGTTTAGAAGATGCATCCTGCACAAACCTGAAGACCTAGGAGTTGACTGTGGTGAGCAGATCATACTGGAAGCTTTGGTCTTATGGGGTGATGGGCACAGACAGAGGAGTCAGATATAAGGGTGTTGGCTCAGGGGCTGGCCCTGAAGCTGAGAATGAATCTCTCTCATAAGGGATGGAGAGCACCTAGAGTTGCGTCCTCTGATCTGCTATGGCTTGGATCCTGCTTCTGTCAAATTCAACTGTTGTTGCCTTTCATATGCCTCTTTTCTCTCAGATGAATGCAAAGGAAACAAAGCAGAACGCTTAGGGCTTGGTTTTACACAGATAAACGACTAGCTAGTGTCCTCTAGTGGCAAACAAACAAAACACCTGAAGGGCAGTTATTTTTTTACTTCTTAAAAGATTCAGACTGAAATTGATCCCAGAAATACAATGTAATGCTATTGAGTCAAACAGAATATTTGGATAGAATTTTAACCCGTACGCCATCCTGTAAAACAATAACGGAAAACTTCCTTATCTGTTATAAAACAAATTGCAGTTTAATCATATGAGCAACAAAAGAATCAGAGCCAGAAACGATTTTCTTTCTCAATCAAATGTGATTCATTTTTGCACTCACGACTAAGCATTACATAGAGATTTTGGTAGTTCAGCAGGACGAATTAATAGACTGCTTTCTAAGTTCCTAATAGTAGTACCTCAGTGATTGTTTCACAAGATTTCTGACAGCTTAGAAAAAGGAAATGTGCTGTAGATTCTCCAGTGATCCTCTCTAGGCATTAGTTGTTACTTACAGAACTCCCTTAACTTGACATTATCAGGGCTGTTCCCAGCAGCTCTGAACTCTCAAAATCACCATTTCTACCAACACTATTGCCCCTGAAATTCGATCAGGGGAGTATTGGAAAATGGTCAAATGCATGAAGCCAGACAAAATTTCCCAGCTTTGTTGTTTATTGACCGTCTGAGTGCTTTGCCTGAGTTTCCTTATCTATACAACATCAGTGTAATACCAGCTGCTTCACAGCGTTGTTGTAAGGATTGATTAAACTCATATATGGAAAGTGATTAGAACAGAGCCTGGAATTATTAGTGAGCAGCTGTAATATGCCCATCCTTCTCAGCTATTATACAGCGTGCATCAGAAACTTGACATACAGTTCTGCCCTCAAAGACTTCGTAGTCTACATGGATGATCTTACTAGAGGGGTGGGCCTTTATCACACTTTATGGTTTGCAGGAGGAGGGCTTTTGTTCAAACATACCCCAGGCTGCTCATGTTCTTTTTTTCTCTGGAAGAACTGGAGTTATTTCCTTGGAGTGGAATGACTTTGGGGCAGACCCATGAGGAAGAGATGCCTTTTCCCATGCCATTAGGGACTCATTTGACTCTCATTCTATAGTACCTCCTACAGTTTAGCTCAGCCTACAATAAAGGTGGTCACTTGGGTTCTCCCAGCCAAACATTTGAAATAGTTTTCCATTTGCTCAGAACTCAGTCTGAGAAGTGAGGCGCTATTTATTCAGGGGACCCTTGGAGATTCCAACAGAGCATACTGACCCACAAGTACAGTTCAGTGTTAACTCATATGGCATGGACTCACCATACAAATGTTTCCAGAAATGAGAGGCTGAAGTAACAGAAAAAGGTTTTGTGGAAGTGAAACTTAAGCGGGCTCTTGAAGAATGAGATTGAATTTGAATGGGGAGAGTGAGGAAAAAGGAATTCTTCTATAATCAGAGAAGTTTTTTTCTAAGACTTATTAGCAGTTTTTACTTCTGTGAATTGCCATAAAATAGGAAGTAGTATTTCTGTTCGACTACATGGTGAAATAGCTAAGCTGTGGCAGAGAAACAGGCGACAGGGTCTCTTGCTGCCTGGTTATCCAATCCCATGTGACCCAACTGCCAGGAATGTTCCAAGTAGTTTATACATATTAGTCACTCCTTACCACAACCCTATGATATAGATATTATTTCCTCCATTTTACTGGGGATACCAAAGCATAGAGAGTGGTAATTTGCCCAATGTCAGTAAGAGAACTGGGGTTTGAACCCAGGTTCCATTTTCTCACATCATCCAGCTTTGTGATTTCTCAGCCCAAGTGATGGGCTTGCAGTGGTCCCTCCTTGTGAAGGGGGCAAGTGAAGAGACCAGCCTGGCCAAGGTGAGGGATTGGATTTTGGAGGCTGCAAAGTGAGCTGAGAGATAGTGCAGCTGTTTGATGGAGGGTTTGAAAAGCTGATGCAGGAGTTTGGATGCGGAGATAAAAAGAAAAGGAAAGAGTAATCTTTCATGTTCCTCATCAAGAACAACTCTATTTTGCTCATCATATTAATTCCTAAGATTTCAAGGATTTCAGTTTAGTAGAAAGGACATAATGCAAATATGAATATATGGCACAACAAAAACTTGATCCTTGATGCCCTAGCTGGCCACTGGTGGGCAGGGCTTGTGGAGTGTGTTCTCATCCTTTCTTTCCACTTGCCTGCCTAGAAGACAAGCAAGGCTGGAGGGTATGAATGTGAGATTTTAAAATACATTTATGAGCCATGAAGAGAAAACGGAAGTTCCTATGGCCAGGATTCTCACCTGGCCCTGGTCCGCTTGTTCCCTACAAGTGTGGGCAATGCCTTATTATTGACTCTACATAAAGGGCTCCGCCTAGTGCTCTTGGCTGCACGGTTGCAGGAGATCAGAGGCTGGAGTGGTGGCAGCACCAAGGACAGAGACTAAGATGGCTGCAGGGCAGAGACGGGCTTGCTGCAGGAAGACTTGTTCTGAGGCGGATGGGATTCTGGCACTTGACCTGCTATGGGGGGAATAAAGTTGAGTATAAACCATTTCACCCCAAGAACATTCCATTGTCATTTTTCTGTCTTGCTGAATCTAGAGTTACCTTGCCCAGGGCTGCAACCCACTGGCAAGTCAAGCTGAAATCATGAAATGTGAAGTTCCTGCAAAAAACATGCTAAGAGAGATAGAAGAGAAATATTGATAGAAGAGGAAATCTGGGTGCCCAGCTGGAAATTAACTGATCTGCACAGTTTAAGACATTTCCTATCAGTGGTAGGTGATGAGAACTGGTACAAAGCCAGGAAATATAACAATTAGTTTAAAAACACAAAAGAGAGGAAATGAAACTTGGCTTCTTCCCTTACAACAGTATTGCATTAGACGAAGAAAGGGATGTCTGGTTAATATCAACATGTTATCCTATGTATATAATCTTT